TTTATTTTTTTTTTCTTGTAGAACTTTTTTAAAGGAGTATTGAAGGTTTTATTTGCAAAGCAAACAGAAATTGGTAATTTGTGTTTTAAAGGAGCTTTTTTTGTCTAATACTATCGGAAAAATTTATCTATTCTACTAGTTTTTTAAAAAGAACAAATGTAAACTAATTTTTTTTGGTAGAATTGTAATTAAGTCTATCAGCACTAGTGGATTGATCAAGATAAATCTTATAAAACAGTGATGTAAAACTTCCACCTGAGCAGATTTCTAAGAAGAAAGCAGTCAGAGATGTTCCAGAGAGGTAGTTTACAACTTGTAAAAGAATACAGCCAACTAAACTATTTATTTTTTCTTTACTCTGTAATTTCAGACAGTTTCGGCAGGGTCAAGAGAAGAAATGTAGCCTGGGTAATTGTGTGCTGAAAAATTTAAAATTTTTTTTGTTATTTGTCTCTAAATTCTAACTTTAACTGAGATAGAGTGATAGTTGGATACTGCACCGGTTTTTCGTTTTATACCGGCACTGTTATATCAACAACATTTGTTATATATTGTTTTTGTGAAGGCTCACTTATAGGGTCAATTGAAGTGATTCGGTGTCAGCTGTCAGTATGATCAGATTCACCACCGTATTCCACTTTGTTGTTACGGTAATTTATATAATAGGAGCCATTGAAGACGTAGCTGTAATTAGCGGGCCAGCCCTTCCGATACCGGGAAACTACTTCTCAAAGATAGTCTGGTTGACAATCATTGATTTGGTAAGCATTCTTCTTTCTGTTGAACCATGTATTTGTTCAGTTTACCTAACTATGCAAAATGGGTGCGTTAGTTATTGGTACGATTAACTAAATTGCTTATTTATTTAGGCTCGAATTTCTTGGGTTTTTTGATTTGAATTACTGACAAAATTTTTTTGAATAGAGTAACAAAGGGTTAATTTTTTTGATTGTTTAGCTCTTTTTGAAGTGGTTAAGGGTGAGGAAAAGAAAAAATTTGTTTTTTTTTATACTAATAATTTTTTGACTCTTTTTGGGCATTTTTTTTTGTAGAGATGCCATCTCTTATTTTTGTCTTTTTTCGTGCCAGATTAGCCTACATAGTTTTTTGACTTTTATTTTACGTAGTAATTGAAATATCAAATTCTGTAATTTTTGGTATGATTGTGTTGATGTAATAATAATCTATAAAATATCGAGGTATTCGAAGATAGCGTAATAAAAGAAATTTGAACTTGTCAGGAGATCTGAAAAAAGATACTTTTTCCTGAATAATTTCTAGTCAAAAATGTTATAATAACTAGCACTTATCTTTCGTTTAAATTGAGTGCACAATGGGTTCTAGTATGTCCAAATAATTTACCACCTTTATTCGCTGTATCTGTCAACCTGTGCGATACCGAAACAGCGGACAGCTACTATATATCACTTCATCAGCAATACGCTGGCTTTCCCCGCTGCTCTTGTAAGTTTTAATTTCTTTTCTGTTATAGGTCTTGAATCAAACTTAATTTTCCTGTAAATCTTGTTCTTTGTAATTTTTCACTTTCTTTATGGTTGGTACAATTAATTTTATAATTTACTCGCTTTTTAAGTTGCCACTACTTTTTAGGCTGTCGGGACTTTGTTTTGGGGGCTTTACCTGACCAATCGTGATTTTATTGTGCCAAAAGGTTTTGCTGATCCTATGGAAGTTCATCCATACTTTAATCATATTCTTGTGCGTAATTTTTTAAAAGTTTTGGTTTGATATCTAGTCGGTAACAATAATATCGAAATTACTTGATTTAAAACTTTTTTAAAGTCAAGCATGCCTTTATTCATAACTTGTTCTTAATCATACTGATCATGAACGTAGTTGTTTAGGCATTTTAAATTTTTATTATTTTATCATACCGCTGTTTGGTTATAGCACACCTTACCCGTCGTAGCTATGTTTCTTGATCGTGTCTTCTGGGACCATGGTAGAACAAAGCGAAAGAAAGCTATTATAGCCATGCTGGCTTTTATTATAATTTATATAGTGGAGTAAGTGAAATTAATGGTTTTCATCTTTTTTCTTTATGAATTTTCTTATAACATTTATAGTAACATAATGACGTTTGTTTATTGTTTATGAAGGAAATTAGATAACTTTTGATTTTGAGTAATTGAAACTCTTTGGTTTAGCATTCATGTGATACACGCAATTTCTGGGTTTTGGCCGTATGGTATATTAAACATGCTATCTACGATCCCCAGAATGTTGTTTCTTTTATCTGGTGGTATGGTGCTTGTCATGTCGTATTTCGTCGGTGATTTCCTTAGTGTTTTTTTGAACAAACTTCGAAAGAAGAGCAGTGTTTTTTTGAACAAACTTCGAAAGAAGAGCAAAAATTGATACGCTGTACGTTTAACTCCTGTAATTCTGTAGCAAAGCTGAATGTTCAACAATTACCTTTGAGCTTCTGTTTACTTCTTCTAGAAATGTCTTTACATTTAAGCGATATCTTTCAGTGTGATAAGTCTAGTAAATTTAAAATTTTATTGTTAACTCTTCCTGATAGCGAGATACCTTAAAAGGATAGTTGTTGCAGTAGCAGTAGACGTAATTAAAAAACTGTTCTGTTGTAATCCATCTTTGTGTTGTTCTTCTGAGTGAAGCTGTCTTAAGTTTATTTTTAAAGACTTGTTGTTGCTGAACTGGTTTTCTTGTTGCAAAGAGAATAAAATTTTTGGTGATTTAAATAAACAAAGAATATTTTTTGTTCAGATTTTCAGCTTATATTATAATATTCTTTTAAATTCGACAGCAGCTATTTCAAGTCGCTTATGTTGAACGTTTTCTTACGAAGTAATATCCAAAATTTACCGTCTTTGAATTTTATTTCATTTTTCTTTTTCATTTGTATCGTTTTTTCATGTCTTATTTTTGAAACAGGTAGTATACATTAGTTTGAAATTACAGTATTTATAGTTCACAGATGGCACCAATGTTGGGTTTTGTTCAGGTGAATACTGATATCATACTAAAAGATATGTTAAATTTTTGTCGCTGTCTTTTCCTCACACTTCATCTTTTTTATTTCCTATATATCTAAGTCGGGAATTTGATGCTTACTGTTTGAATGACATATATTTGACGGTTCAAATGCAGAAGAAAAAGGTGGAGAAATCTGAAAAATGGAGAACATATTTTTTTTGGCAGTCAATGTGAATCATTGTTGCCAAAACACCAGTTTTTTGTTTTTCTTCAAAGTGTAGCAGCTAAATTGGGTGAGCAAAAAAAAAAAAAAGGGGGCTTTTGATAAGTGCATTATAATACATGCTTGTATATAATTATTGCTAAAATTTGTTTGAAAAAAATAATTAAAAAAACAGTGATAATTTGCGGTGTCTACTATTCAAATGGCCACCATTAAATCAATGATCAGTTGCTGCACCGCTGTTTATGGTTATAGTTCTTTAGTTATATGGTTTTTTTTTCTCTTTTTGCCCTCTAATTTTTGCTGTTAATAAGGAAGGGAAGAAAAAAAATTAAATTTTTCTTTTTTGGCGTGAAGTTGTTAAAAAAAAGTAAACTTGGTTAAGAGCAAAAAAAAAAGCAAAAAGTGGAAGAAAAAAAAGCAAGAGAAATTTGCAACTACTGTTCCATAGATGGGATAGATTGGCAACGACAACTTAAGACAGAGAAGGCAGAGATACGGTTGAGAATGCTGCTCCAAAGAGGTGCTTTTTTTTTTTTTGAAAAACTGATGCCAAATAAAAAATGCCAGTAAAATATTGCAAGCCAAAACAGGGGTTGATTTTTTTTTTTGGAACTATTGGCAGAAACAGCAAAAAAA